GCCAGCAATTTGTCCATGGTTTCAGTCTTCCATCCCACACTTATTCATTTTAACATGCTGCCTGTGGCAGGGAGAAGACCATCAACAAATGCATGTGCCAAGGCCCCCTGCCCATTTACATCGGGCTCTTGTATTCCTGAATGTTGTAGGAAAATATCAGTTAGCCGGGACCTATAGTCGCCTGGGCTTTCTCCTTGCCCTTGCTTACAGCAACGTATTGCTGTCCAGTTTGTTTTAAGAGACCACACTTTGGGAATGGCTTGATGCGGCGCTTCCAAAGAGCCATACACCGGTCTCTGTGTGCCGAATCTGGGCCAGTACTTTTTATGGTTGAGTGGCGTGCTTCAGCTGGCCAGTCTGTGGCAGCCAACCATTTTTCATAATAACTGGCAGGAGCTAACAATTTACACAGTTGGAGGAGATCTGTCTCAGAGGGTTCATAGGTTTCACAGAAATTCCTCAGCAAATTTGACAGAGTTTTCCTGTGGTTTGGGAAAACTTTTAACTATAGATAAAAGTTTCGTACGAGTCCAGGGCTTATAATCCCATATGGACTCACTTTCTCCCATCTTAAGGACTCGTAAGGGTGCCACAACAGTTTGATCAGAGTCTCTCATTAACCTCCCATCAGGTTCTCTTTTCCAAGAAGAGATGTCAAGAGAATCTTTGCAGTCTGCTTTGGATTTCTTCTTCATAATATTTTGCAGAGCTGCGAGGCCAATGAGGGTATCTTCTTCACTTTCATTATCTGTAGTCACTGAAGATTTTTCCTTTTCTGATTTCTTATTTGCGCAGGAGTATGGTGGGGGTCGGGTTTGATCCGGATCATTGCACAGGACTGGGCAAAGGGGAGTGCTCGGACTAGTGGTGGGAGAGACTGCATCCAATTGAACTGTTAGTTTTTTGATAGAATTTTTAAGAGAGGTGAGTTTTAACTCAGTCCATCTACGATTTGCCTCTTCCCACCACTGCATGAAGCAGTCTACTTCTCCTCTCTCCAGTTTGGTTTTTGGGAGGACGAGTTTGCTTTTTAAAGCGTCCACTCGATCCTTGTCCCAAGAACCTAACAGTGGCCACTGTAATTTGGGGTTCTCTAGAGCTAATTTGGACCATTTTTCAAGAAACCTACAAGAGTCCGGACCCCTCCTAAAATACATAAAATAAGCTGGAGTTCCCTTAGGGAACTGTTCGACCTTAGACTTCTGATTACCCATCCAGGAGGACTTCACACAGCACTCACACAAGAAGGAAATTCGGGCTCAGCAGAGCGGTACGCGGTGCAACACACAGAAAGGAGCCCACAGGCTACTGCCTCAACTGCCCTTGCTTTCACACCAGGGGTTATACCCAAGGCGTGGTGCGGCTGCAGCTGTGCAGATTCCACTTATTCAGACCGTGGGGACGGGGACCCCTTGGTCAGCCAGTCTCCGGACAGAGATGGCTCCCAGATTCACACACACACCATGGGGAAGACGGATAGACACAAAGACAAGACAGTCCTCAAACCGGTTAAAGCACAAAAATAATAATTACCTGAGACGTCTGATTCCAGAAGCTGGATCCAAAGACCCCTACCCGAACAGAGTGGGAACCAACAAGTTCAATGGTGTAGATTGCGCTGCTGCTGTGTACCTTTCTGTCTTGTGGAGGATCGCTTGGACTAAGCGTCCAGGCGCTGGCTGCCACGATCGTCCTGCAAGGCAGTCAGGGATCACACAGCCTCAGTGAAGCCGCTTGCCATCTCGGTGGAACCTCCAAATTGTCAAAGTTTGACTCAGACTCACAATTTATCAGACCACTCTGTTTTATTAGCAAAGCTGCTCTGCTAATACATTTAGAAGTGAGCCCCCCGAGTGGGGCTTGTGTCTTTTAATTTATACAGTTTTTTGGAGAACAAGTTACAGACAAAAGAAGAAAAAGATTTTAGTCACCACCCTTCGAGATTCCTGAGACCAGTCACGTATCTTCAATTACCTGCCACCCTTAACAATCTCCTTTAACAGCTTCCAGTTAACTTAACTAATTGCCCTTCACACCTTCCATTCTGATGCCTGCTTCTTAGACGTGCTGGCTCTATCTTAATTGCTTCTCCATTCAAAAGCTAACTGTCCCTAGGTGTGCTCCCTCAGATACTTTGTAACATGTTTTGGCATGCCCTCTCATATACACTGTATCCAGCATGTCCCCTTATACAATGTTATACTTCCACACCTACTACAGGACAGGCCTAACAAAGAAAATAACAGAACGCCACTAGCCGTCACCTTCAGCCCCCAACTAAAACCCCTCCAACACATTATTAAGGATCTACAACCTATCCTGAAGGATGTCCCAACACTCTCACAAATCTTGGGAGACAGGCCAGTCCTTGCCTACAGACAGCCCCCCAACCTGAAGCAAATACTCACCAGCAACCACATACCACACAACAGAACCACTAACCCAGGAACCTATCCTTGCAACAAAGCCCACTGCCAACTGTGCCCACATATCTATTCAGGGGACACCATCACAGGGCCTAATAACATCAGCCACACTATGAGAGGCTCGTTCACCTGCACATCCACCAACGTGATATATGCCATCATGTGCCAGCAATGCCCCTCTGCCATGTACATTGGTCAAACTGGACAGTCTCTACGTAAAAGAATAAATGGACACAAATCAGATGTCAAGAATTATAACATTCATAAACCAGTCGGAGAACACTTCAATCTCTCTGGTCACGTGATTACAGACATGAAAGTTGCGATATTACAACAAAAAAGCTTCAAATCCAGACTCCAGCGAGAGACTGTTGAATTGGAATTCATTTGCAAATTGGATACAATTAACTTAGGCTTGAATAGAGACTGGGAGTGGCTAAGTCATTATGCAAGGTAACCTATTTCCCCTTGTTTTTTCCTACCGCCGCCCCTCCTCAGACGTTCTTGTTAAACCCTGGATTTGCGCTGGAAATGGCCCACCTTGATTATTATACACATTGTAAGGAGAGTGGTCACTTTAGATAAGCTATTACCAACAGGAGAATGGGTTTGTGTGTGTGTGTGGGGGGGAGGGGGAGAAGAAAACCTGGATTTGTGCTGGAAATGGCCCAACTTGATTATCATGCACATTGTAAGGAGAGTGATCACTTTAGATAAGCTATTACCAGCAGGAGAGTGGGGTGGGGGGAGGTATTTTTTCATGCTTTGTGTGCATAAAAAGATCTTCTACACTTTCCACAACATGCATCCGATGAAGTGAGCTGTAGCTCACGAAAGCTTATGCTCCGATAAATTGGTTAGTCTCTAAGGTACCACAAGTACTCCTTTTTTTTTTGTGAATACAGACTAACACGGCTGTTACTCTGAAACACTACAATAAGGGCCTCTCTGACTTGCTGGAAAGATCTTGCACAAGTGTGTGTGAGCATTCCTTTTCTATCCCCCACACCCAACAGGACAATAATCATAGATACCTCTTTGTTAGTTTGGAGGCTCACATAGACGGTCACACTTGGATGCCCTCAGAAACCAGGATACACATTCATCTCCTGGAGCTCAGAGCAGTCCAAGAAGCACGCAAGCCATTCTTACCATTAATCCAGTCTCACCACATTCTCATGTCAGACAACGTGACAACCGTATTCTACATAAATGAACAGGGAGATGCGAGATCCATTCCCCTGTGTGTAAATGCTGTCAAGTTTATGGAACTGGTGTATCAAGAACCATATTACCCTATCAGCAGAGTACTCCTAGGAACCAAGAATGGGCTCGCAAATAGCCTCAGCAGGCACTTTGCCACTGACCATGAGTGGAAGTTTCACAGCTCAGTGGTGAACTGCTTCTTCACTCAGTGAGGAATTCCCTACCCAGATCTGTTCGCCTCCCAGACTAACAGGAAGTGCATCAAATACTGTTCCGGGGAGCTCAGAGACAGTTCTCCAGAGGTGACAATACAGCAAATTGTACAGGCCCAGACCAGTAAGGGGTTCTGTCACTGCCCATGCTGTAATCTGTGACTCATGGTTTTTGAATGTTTGGGGTCGGCAATGCTGCACATAATGATGCACCCATGTATCTAAGGGTAGGGTCAAGACCTGTCTTGTAGACTGAGGGGTTGATTTGCTCCCACTGACAAGAGAGCAGGTGTGGAAGGCTGCTGGAGGCTTCACCCCTGGAGAAGAGGTGAAAACACCACAGTCCATCTCCAGGGGGAGAGAAGGGATGCTTTGATTACCAATTGGGATGTATTGCAACAGTGCTGAGTAGCTTCTCTCCACACCCTGGTACTTCAACAGTGACAGGGCCTAGCAACAAAATGTATAAATGATTCTGGCATCCTGCCAGAATTTTCCTGCAGAACCCAAAGGAGAGAAAGTGAAATAGTGAATTTTTATCTTAGCTAAACTAAGATATTCTATTTTAGCCAAACTGAAGATGGGACAAAGAAAAGCCATTTCGCTAGACTGAGGTTAATTCCCCTGCCAAATATCAAAGGTCTGCTGCAAACAAGGGAGGTGTGAGAGCTTTTCAAGTAAATATTTTATAATGAAAAGTGTTATGCGTGAGTAGTGCTCACAGACCCCGGTTGTCGACAGGCAGGATTGAACCTGGGACCTCTGGAGCTTAGTGCATGAGCTTCTACTGTATGAGCTAAAAACCAACTGGCTTTTTAACTCTAAGTGGTCTCTGCCATTTGATGGTATAGAACACCACACCCTGGTTACACATGCACTATATACAGGGTCACTATCAGTTCCCCTTCTATCTATCTATACACACACATATGTGCATGCACGTACAGAAAGAGCGTGTGTGTGCATTCTTGTGTGTATGTAAAAACAAGATGTTTTATAGATGTTGAATTTAAATTTTACGTTTAAAAGATGTGATGCTATTTAAAATCTATCTGGAATATAATACTGAGGATCCAGAAAAGCAACTGAACATGCTCTTACGTGTTACTTAACCGGACGTGTCAAATACTTGAATCTAGAGTGTTATGTTTTGTAGACCCCTCCATATTGCTGCACGAAATGGCCTAAAGATGGTGGTTGAGGAGTTGCTGGCCAAGGGGGCGTGCGTACTAGCAGTAGATGAAAATGGTAAGTGAAACAATACAATCTGACAGTCTTAAGAAGAGCACCTAAGGTGATTTTTACAAGTGACCAAAGAAATAGACCTGCAAACTGGTTAATTAGATAACACTGATGCCTATATTCCTTTGTAAATAAGATTTTCAGTTGTATAAGCACCCAAACAAGGATACTACTTCTGTATGTTTTATATCAAACACTGCAGACGTCACAACAGTCTCTTTAATGTTAATTTTGCATGTGCTGTCAACAACTAGTCTTTCTTTAACCCCTGGGTGCAATGGTGGTTTGAATTTTCTAAACATGCAAAAGACAACAGAAAATTCTGACTCCTTGCTCTAGAGTTAAGGATTATACATCTCATCAGAGCATGTTTAATGATTAGGAGAAAAAACATCAGCAATTGTTTGTTTGTACCCCCAATTCATTCTGAGATCAAAGTTAGTAATCAAATTTTCTGACCAAATCTGACAAGCTAACAAATTATTACCACCCTGTAGTAAGTGTGAATATAGTGTGAGACATGTTCAATTGGTGACTAAACTTGAAAATATTTGTTTCAGACCTCTATGAAATACTTTTTCTAAACACAAAGTATCTGTAAGGGAAAATCAAAACTCTGTTTTTATGGTATTTTGAACCTTTTAACCTTTAAAATTCCTTCTTTCCTGAAATAAGTTGGTTTCTCTTACACCACTGACTCAATGGCATTTAAGTATTTGATGTAAAAGTTCTGTGCCTCAGTTTCTCTACCTGTAAAGTGGGAATAATATTTTTTACCCATCACAGTAAGACACTTTGAGATCTATTGATGAAAAACACTATAAAAGTGATTAATCTTATTTGCCAAATTATACTAGTCAGACTGCATGAATTAATTCTATTGAAGTCATCTGGATCTAAGTCGTGGACAGGATTTGGTCCCAAGTAAATGCATTTGTAAGAAGAATGTCTATTACACCAAAACTAAAATACCATGTTTTATTACAAAGAAAACCTGTGGAGCACTGGTGAATGAATTTTGCCTGACCCAAAATGTAGCACTAATTATGATAATAAAATGTATTTGCTAAATGTAATTACCTGCTTCTTACAGGTATTGGAATTAACAGTTCCTGCATATTTCACAGAATTAAGCAATTATACTAATATCATTAGATAACTAAAGATTTTTTGTTTGCCACAGTCCCATTTATTATAGCATGCAATCTTCTACATCCCCTCCAACTGATCAGGGAGGAGCAGAAGGTTTCTAAACTATTTAATCTTACTGCTTAATTTTTTCTTTTTATTACCCTTCACCTCACCCTTATGCTTTTAGTGAGTGGCTACCGTTATGGTACCTGACTGTAGCTGAATGCAAAGACATATCGCTTTTCTCACTGCTACTGATTTGCCACTCCATCTATTTGCTGTTAGAACATTCTGAAGAGCAGTGCTGACAGGATACTATTCCCAGGATCCAACCATTTCCATGGCTTGAAAAACTTCCACCAAACTGATGAGTCAGAATCTCAAGGTCATTGCTGAATCTGAGTCTCCTAAAGAGCACTGTTACTACAATTTCAGGCTGGCCCTGTTTTTCTCTTTTAATAAAGCAATCTACAGAGATTGTTTTTGTTCAGCAATCTAAACATTCTTTATGTAAAAAAAAAAAAAAAAAAAAAAATTCATTGAATGGAATTATGCCCGAGCTTTCACTGTTTGCCAGGTTCCCAGCTTCCTGAAAAAGTGTACTTGAAGTATCTATTATAGGACTACAAACAAGAACCCAATTAATTAATAGCATTTGGCAGCTGATTAAAAATAAATAGAGTCTCACTTACTGTATCAAAAGTTGTACCTAGAGCTTGATGAATACAAATATTTTCTTCAAATATTCTCTCAAACGTAAAAGTGAATTTGCCTAAGCCACTTTCTACAAACTTATGAGCTATCAAGTTTTATCAGTTTTCACTTTTCAGGCTCTAGGATTTGCATTAGATGCGGTATGTTTTGTATGAGATAGTACATCTCTTGAAGTGGCCAACGGATGGGGCTCTGAAAATCTTTTGCCAGGGTTTGGGATAGAAAGAAGTAAATGAACCAAATATGGATCTAACTCCACACACTTTACAACTAATACAAAACCAATTACATTTGTGCGACTATAAAGAGTGAAGATTAAATTTAAACTCTTCACCCAGGCAGTACATCTGACAGCACTGTAATGATGAATGATGTCTTGGACAAGGCTTTGCTGTCCTGAAAGGAAAAGGTTCAGATTTTCCTAATCCTCCTCATCTACCTCTCACTGAGGGATTTCAAGACAACCTCCAAATTATAAAAATGTCACACTTATCCAATCATAGAACAAAACTAGTACCATGTGATCATAACTAATCACCACAGTTCAAATTTCTTATCTCCAAAATACTTGTAATGGACTGTTTATTATCATCCTTAGAAATTTTAAAGCAACAGCAACCAAACCAAAGCACAAAAACATATCTGAGTAACTAATGAATACATCTGAGGAAGTCATGATCTGTTCTTGGACATAGTACCCAAAGAAAAAGAGGTTAAATTAATCAATTACTATTACTACTAATCTTTATTAGCTGGAAATTATTTGCTCGGCTGTAGTTGTATATGAAACGCACTGAGGGTATGTCTTCACTGCAGAATTAACTTGCGTGATTGGCACTCAAGTGTAAGAACTATGGTTGGCCAAACTCAGGTGTGAGTGGCCACACTGCAAAGCCATACCTGAGGATATCCATTTGGCCGCATCCACAGTGGTGCTGTACTGTACTTGTGTGAGCTGGTAGGAGTATCCCATGGTTCTTAGTGGTGCAGTAAGCTTAGCTACTCTGATCCTGAATGAATTGTCGGAGAACTTGTTTGTCCTTCTGGGCATACAGAGGGAATTGTGGGAAGGCATGGGACTTGAGTGATTTAGCCAGTGTCCTCACTGCAAAGATTAGCAACCCACTTGTAAGCAAAACCCACTTGTAAGCAAAACCCATCCTTTTAAAGCTTTTTGTGTGTAGATGAGAGCTGGGGTACAAACATCCAAATAGGAGCCCAAGTTAACTCTGCAATGAAAATTGGGTGATTGGCTGCCATTAGAGGTTTCCCAGTTCTTCATTTCACCAAGCCCTTATTACATTTACTTAATTTTTAAAAATATATTGCATGCTTCCTGAATAAACCATTCTTCTCTGAACAAGAAGGTAAATTTTGGATAATAATCTATACAGTCATACTTACTGTAAATATCATATATCGGGGGGGGGTGTCTAGTCCCTTTCTCTGATAACTTAATTCCTAGATAAATTACTCTCTAAAATACTCAATATTATAAAATCTTTTAAAAATTCATTAATGCAGAACCAATATTTTTTATCTAATGTACATTTATCTTCAACTGAAGGTCATTGTTCTCAGAATGTGATTTGTTCATATGAACTGAAGTGGAAATCAACTTCAGTTCATAGTGCCATATGCTTATTTATGTTGTCGTTTTGCAATCATATTGTCTGTGTTGTGGAACTGTGTTTACCAAATGTTTTTATTCATTTTGTGAAGGCTGTATGCTGCCTGAGTTTTAAAATAGTGCTTTTTGTGGTCATTAGCTTAAACACTCCATAAATTGTGTATTTTCCCAGCATGCCTAATTTAAAATAAGTAACACGTTCTCTTGCCTGGCATGATTGTAACTAAACATACATCTCCTTATTATGAAGTCATCTAGAGATGTATTTGAGGAATGCTCATTTCCCTTCTCAGTACCCCCAGTACTAACCATTGCCTTGTCTGCATTTGTGCCCAGGTCATACGCCAGCCCTGGCTTGCGCTCCTAACAAAGACGTGGCTGACTGCCTGGCACTCATTTTGGCTACCATGATGCCTTTTTCTCCTTCCAGTTCAATGATGCCTTTCAACTTCGTTTGTTTTAAAAAAGACAATTTAAGCAGGACACATCTCTGCGATGGCTCCAATATGGGCAGTATTAACTCTTACAGTAAACCCTTGAGTAACAATATAGGAACAGAGGATGGGTACAATGAAAATGATTCCGATTCTGAAACATTTTGACTTTGGTATTCAAAGCTTTTTCTTAATTGCATTTGGAGTTGTTTTTTTTTTTTTTTTAAAAAGCTTGAATCCCACATTATATTTTTAAAGTATTATTATTGACCAAAACTTCCAGAATTGGGCATTGAAAGGATTAGTAAATAATAATTAAAATAATAATTAAAAATAATCTAGTCTTTAATATAGAAGTTAGGGATTTTCATTTGAATGAATTCACATTTATGTTCTGTAGCTTCAAGTTTCACCGAGTTTTCTTTAGGCCTCAAGTGCTCCTGTGAAAGTTTCTAGCTCTTTTTTTAAGTAGAAAAAGAGAAAATGCCTTTTTCTTTATGACAGCACAAATGAACAGGGAACTGTTGTGTAAAATATTCATATGCCCTAGCTGTATAGTTGGTACACAGATGGCTTTCCAATGTGGCTTTCTTAGATTCCAAGAAAGAACCCCAACCCTCTCCTCCTTGTTGTCTATTTCCTAGTTAATACAGGTTCTGTTGGGTAGATAATAGTTCGTTACACAAACCAAAGGTAAAGTTGTGCATCTTTTTAAAGTACTGCCTGTATTACCTTCTCTAAGGGAAAAAAACATTTTACACTCTGCATGTATTAAGCACTTAAATATACAGAAGGCACTTTTTAAAGATCTTAGATACAGCACACAATTAGAATACTGATATAAAAATTTAAGGCCAAATCCTGCTTTTGTCTATCATACCAATATTTCACCACTTACATCAGTGGAATTACTTGTGTGAAGTCAGCATGAGTCAGCTGTTGATTTGCTTTTTCAGTTCAGCACAAACATATATGGTTTATTTGCACTACAGAACTAGGATCATTAGGAGCTTCTGTTACCTGAGCAATTAACCACAAATCTGGTATCAGAAAAAAAAATAAGTTGTTGATTGTGATGCATCTAAATTTTGTTGCCAATTTAAACTGATATTTTTCATTTTCTTTTCTAAACTTATATAGCTTGTTTTTACCAGGAACATTATCAGGGTTTAAAATACTTTTGCCAATATTTGGGTTAAAATGAATAGAGCAAAGGTAAATACAGAGCAAGTGAAAGCATTACATCAAAAGTGGACATACCAAACAAACGCCAGTAAATTTGAAAGCATATTATGGAAAGGGAATCATGATGTACTAGAACAGCCGATTGATACCAGCTTGCTTAAGCAACATCAACATTGTGAATATATCTACTCCTTCTGCCAAAGCTTCTAGGTCAAATGGACCCCGTTCCTCGTCTGGAACAGATGCACAAAAGGAAGACTGAGCCTTTAAAAAATAAACAAATAAACTACCATGAACTAACCAGCTCTATACCACGAGGACCAAAATGCTTCAGTATTTAAATGGAAGATTTTAATTTTTTTCAGAATGCAAGTGACAGAATGAAGTAATTTTTCTAAACAATAAAAATGTAAACTTTTTGAGTAATGAATAGTCTGGAGTGTATTTTACATTTTATGACACAAATTTCTAGCTGACAGCTTGGCGTTTTTAACTGATGATGTGTTGACCACAGTTTATTTTTTTCCAGACTAGAGAGAATGTTCATATACTTTTAATGTAAATGTGTTTATATTTATTCGAAATGAAATCAATGCCCAGGAAAAATAACTATGGCTTGTTCTCCTTTTTTGTGAATCTTATTTGGCATAACACAAAATGAAACGTGAATATAAGCCAAGCCTGTTGGCCTGAGTGGGGAGGACTGTGGGAGTGTGTAGCGTGGCCACATGGGTTCAAAACTAACCTCAGGTCCTTACTCATATGGTTGGATGTAATGTGAAGATGAAACAACCAGCCTCTGTTCATAAGGGGTGGAGAGTGAATTTGTGCATTGCACCACTCAAGCACCCTTTATCAGACAGATTAGAGCATAGGAAAAACTCACAACTTCCTAGCAGGGAAAGGGGGCATCATAACACAGCTAAGGTATGTGGCACAGGGAGGATAGAGGAGATGTACTGTGGCTTGGAGTAAAGAAATTTGTGGAAACTACCTATGATTCCCACTCAGGCTGTTAGCAGGCTTAAGTCTATGCTGGAAGGATGGGAGGTGTCTCCTCAGTAAACACTTTAGGCAGGGCAAAGGAAAAAATAGTTTAGTTTTGTTTTTTTAATTGACAATTCTGACAGTATTCTATATAATCAATGTCAACATTTGCTAAAATTTGTTGACAGGTTCCCATTCTTCATGAGGGGAAAAAGAAACATTTTAAGTATGTAATTCTTAGTGATACTTTTAATGCATATATGGGTATCTAGTAGTATACATAATATATTACCTGTATTTTGCCCTGCTAAAATTAAATGATTGTAATGTCTCTATCAATATTATGAAATAGAAAATTTCAAATCTTAAAGTTAAAAAAAATCTCAAGGGGTACTCCCTTTAAGGATTCACATTTCTCTTTTTCTATGTTTTTCTGCAGTGGAAATCCCAAGCACCTGAACCATGGGCTTTCCCCTCTTACATTAGTACTGTATGACTATTTTGATTTTTTTAATTGCTAAAGAGCAATAAATAACTACTTTACTTAAAGCACTGAAAATAAGGGGAGAGACCAACATGGAAAGAGTGGTGGGTTCTGTGGTGTCTGTTTAGAAGTGAATGGAAATCCCACATTTTGCTTTTTGTTGTTTCTAAATAGAACAAACACTTAAAGTTTCATTTCCTATGGGTTTTTTTCATTAGAAGGAGAAAAGGGTCACAATTACCATAGAAATGCAGAGGTAATAGTCACAGTGGTCATTAAAAAAAGTCAGCATTTCCTATTAGCTACCACACAGTGATAGCTAAGATACCAGTATTTTAGTAGGAAGTAATTGTGGTATCTGTGTGGTATTTGTCAATAAAATGCTGACTTTATGATGACCCATTATATGTAACATTATAGAACTCTAGATGATTATTGAATTTCTTTGATCATTCTGTGGTTCAAATCCAAAACCCATTGAATTCAGCAGAATAAGCTTCTTACTGAATTCAATGGATTTTGGATTGAGTACAATCTACAAATAGCTAAAGTTTATATCTGGTATTGTGTCTACTTTGAAACAAAGACAAAGGAACCAAATCTAAATTTTCTCATTGACTACAAACTGGCCATCCAGTTGTATTGGTGATTTCAAGTATGCTATATTACAGGAATCATAGGAAAGATATCACATACGCTTTGTTGGTTACCCTCTTAAGGGCACTGGGAAAGTCCATGTTTTGAGCATGGTACTCTTAGGAGAAAAAAAAGTACAGTATGGGTTAGATTTTCAAAAGTGCTCAGCTTTGGTTTAATTCTGCTCTTGTTGAAGTCAATAGGAACAGAGTTAGGTAAAATGTTGAACACTTTTGAAACTCCCACCCCCATATTTTTATTAGTACAATAATTTGTACACGCTTATAGAAATAAATTTGTGATTTAGGACTTGCTCTTGCAAACATTTAAACATAACTTTATTCTTGTAGTAGTCAGTCCCACTGAGTTAATGGAACTATTCACAGGAGTAAAGTTACTTATGTGCATAAATGTTACAGGATGAGGCACTTCAGCCCTGATGCTGCGAGTTATAATGTTGTTATGTGGGTTACCTCTGCGCCTGTCCACAATATGGGGCTCTGTGTGAATGCACTGGTCTGTTCCTATGGTTCTGTGCGAAGGATCAGGGTTTTAGTTTATATTTGAACCATAGTTGTAGGTGGACTTCATTTCAGGAATAGTTCCCAAGTCTCTATCATAAATACCAAAAGTTACAATCTTCAAATTGCCTAAAATCTTCCATGATTCTACATTGAAATAGCTATGGGAATTCAGTTTATCATTACTAAAAGGGCACCGTAGTATGTTTGGTACTTTTTTATGCAGTAAACAGCTGCCAGATTTATTATTAAATTAGAACAAATACATAAAATGGATTATTATCCTTTGTAATGTTGAGAAACTTGATCATGTATCCGTTAGGATGAATTAACAACTTTGTGATTTTTTTTTGTCATGTAAGAAACTTTAGAGTGCCTTTTTATATTTGTGTATTCTGGAAGTGTTTTGTGAAACTTATCTTTTGTTTATTTCATTTGAGTGTTATCAAAGCAATATAATACCAGTAAATTTTCATTTCAAGCCTTTTTGGAAAGTATGAAGTAGTTTTTTTTCTTTTTGTATATTCTACTTGCGTTGAAATGAAAATTAATCTGCTAAATTTCTATAGGAAATTATGTATAATTTTTGCAGTGCTGAAAAGGCTTTCTTATTACACAAAAAGTAAACCATAGGTCAGTGTTTATAGGGCAGGACGTTTTAAAATAGTGACAATCTGAGAGTGTGCATAAAATGTAATTCTATGCGTTTCTTATGCAGTGATCTACATATTAAAAGCCAATAACCTTATGTTTTGTAGTTTCATCTTATTTTATGCTTTAGCATGTGCAATATATCTTTACAAACCATGGTGATACAAATCTGGTGCCAGTGTTATATTTTGGATAACATATTTGTCATAAACAATATAAAATATTGTTTGATGGTTTTGGTGGGGTTTTGTCTGTAATGTTTTCTTATGTAAATTGGAGTTTAATGACTTCAGTAAATGTCATGACTGTACAAAATGAGGAAAAAAAATACTTATTCCAGTGAATGACTTGGAATCCAATCTGAATCTGTTCAAGCACAGCTTAGTATCTTTTTCAACTACTGAATGCTGTATTAATGTAATGAAGTACTCTGACTGTAAACTACTATTGAAATGCATTCAGATGGTTATTTTTACAAATAAAAATGGTACAAATATTGTTGCAAAACTGAGTAATATATTTTTATCAAAAACATGAAATTACACTAGAAAAATGTTTTAAGCAGTATTGCAGAAAAAAGATGGATAATGTAGGTTGAACTGTCTATACTTCATTTTATATTTCTAAACTTTCTCTTATGCATTGACTATCTCAATTGGCTCAAGAAATGGACTATGATAGTATTAACATGGGTTATACTTTATATAAAGTAGCAGAACTATTGTATAAGTAATTTTGTTCAGATACGTATTTGGATGTCACCTTGAATGATTTTTTTTTTCAAAATTAAGTAGCCGCAAAAAAAATTGACTATTTCACTAAAACTGTATCGCTGTATCCTTAGAGACTAGCCAGTACTAAAATAAAGTCAACAATACAATTACCTATTTTAATATTATAAACCTATACGTTCCTCTTTGTAGCAAAAAGGGTTAATATCCATAAAAATGAGCTGCATAACTAGGTATTCAGCTAACTTTTATGGGGGAAGAAAGATACAGGGTTAAATTCCAGCTCTACCTGTAGTAACCTGGAGCATGCATTACTAGAATTCTACCCACGTGAAGAGATTAAAATACTGTAGATACTGTTGAGGAAAAATGGGAAGAAGGCAGAGCACTGTACTACTATGCATATGTCAGTATCTGTAGCAAAGAAGCCACAGCACACAGTAATGTGCATTACGTTTTTCTGAGATCCTTGTAGTCTGATATGAAGTCCACATGTCCCCTGAAATGTTTTATTTTGTCACAAAGGTGCAGACTTCAATTTTTAAGTAACTTAGATTACTGCCTGATAGCAAAGCAGTATCATGGTTTTACTATAGTTCCTCTTATTTCCTGAGACCACACTCTATTCTTTTGGAGTTTGTAAATAATTTATACCATGGCAGATGCTTGGGGTTATAATTCCTCCCAACATGAGGATGTCACATCATCACATAGAAGGGTCTTGGGTATCTCTCAGTCTTGAGCTGTTGTCTGATTCTCCGTGTAAGATAGAGACTGTTGTCCTTAGAAGACCCTGTTGCAGAAGAGAAGAAAGAACATGCCTCAAAGACCCAAAGCTCCCCTAGCTGTACATGAGGCACTTGACAACCTGTGGGGACTCACTCTCACATGCAACAGGAAAGCCATCCCTTAGAGACATCCATTATAACTGGCTGCATAAGGGAACCAGAGACAAGTCCAGGTTAGGAGGAGGGCCAGACTTCATTTCAGTCAGATCATTCTCCCTGGCATCCAGGGGCAGTTCAGACTTGGAAGAGGTAACTAGGGAGGAGTCTTCCCTAAGGAAGTCTTGTAAACATAGGAATACTTGTAACAAACTCCTCCCAAGATTCTTCATTTAGTGCCAGAGCTGCCCAGCTGAATGACTACACACAAACCCCAATAGCCCTCCTCCACAGCAGCAGCTTTACCCCTTCTCCCCTGACCCCCAAACCCTTAGATAAGAAAAGTGTAGAATAGAGGTCCTGAGAATCTGCTTTGTGGCACCTCCTGAACCTGCAGAGTGGTTGGGAGCCTGAGAGAAAATGCCACTATGCCTCCTTTTGGTAGTTTTTTTTTTTGGTTTTTTTTTAGAATGTAACATGCCAGCCCCTCTGGAAAAGGCCAAGTGTCAGCGTTCTGTCTCCACCTGTTTGCTGGGAGAAACTATGACCCAAGTGTCTGGATTGATAGAGAAGTCCTTGAAAAATAAACACCAGGTAAGGAAAATATCACTTTGTGGATCTTCTGCTCAAGTTATCTTTTGTATTACACATTGGTATGACATCTCTACCAAGGAGGAAGCTTTGGTTTTGTTTTGTTTTTTCCTTCATAGAGTTTTGAGCACTTTTCAAGTAAAATGCCCCATTGTATTTTGGAAAAAACTCAAGTATTTTCTGTTCGGTCACTTATGTTTTTGAAAGATCTGATGTCTTCCTCAAATCCAAATGCACCCTCAGAAACGCAAGCTACTCATTTTATCTATGTATTTTCACAGCTACCTTCAAGATCCTAAACAGTCCTTTGCTCCCTGCTCTGTATATCTTACAGAATGGCTTGGAAAACCAGCCAGTGCCTACTGGCAGAGTTTCTTCCTTGTTTTTTTTTTTCTCCTGGGACATTTGGGCCCCTTGCCCAAGTGGCAGGTGGTTCTGTTCACCGTTCTCCCCCCAGCTCTGCATGAGTCCTAGAAGTCTGTATTGCTGTCGAACCCCTAGGGTTGCCAACTTTCTAATCCCACAAAACCAAACACCGTTCCCCTACCCCTTCCTGAGGCCCTGCCCCCTGCTCAATACATTCCCCCTCCTTCAGTGGCTCCCTCTCCCCCACCCTCACTCACTTTCACTGGGGTAGGGGGTTGGGGTGTGGGAGGGGGTGAGGTCTCTAGCTGGGGGTGGGGGCTCTGGGATGGGGCCAGAAATGAGAGGTTCAGGGTGCAGGAAGGAGCTCCAGGCTGGGGCAAGGGGTTAGGGCTCAAGCTGGGGGTGCAGGATCCAGGCTGGGGGACAGGGCAGAGGGGTTCAGGGTGTGGGAGGGGGCTGTGGGTTGAGGCAGGGGATTAGGGTTCAGGGGCATGAGGGCTCCGTCTGGGGGGTGTAGGCTGCGGGGTGGAGCCAGGGATGAGGGGCTGGGGAGGAGGGCTCAGGGCTGGGCCAGGGAGTTGGGGCACGGGGTTACCGCTGGTGGCTCCCGGTCAGTGGCGCTAAGGCAGGCTTTGGGCCTGTCCTGACTCTGTGCTGTGCCCCAGAAGTGGCCAGCAGGTCTGGTTCCTAGGTGGAGACATGTCAGGCCTCTTGCCCGCAGGCACCACCCTGCAGCTCCCATTGGCTACGGTTCCCGGCCAATGGGAGTGCGGAGCTGGTGCTCGGCGCCCCGTGGTCCCCCTGTCTAGGAGCCGGACCTGCCGCCCGCTTCTGGGGCGCAGTGCGGTGCCAGGACAGGTAGGGACTAGCCTGCCTTCGTGCCACAGCACCGCCCACGGGACCTTTAACGGGCTGGTGGGCAGTGCTGACCGGAACCGCCAGGGTCCCTTTTCGACCAGCCGTTCCGCTTGAAAACTGGACATCTGGCACCCCTACCAGGCCCCCACCTCAGCAGCGAGGCTGGGGGGAGCAGAACGGAGCTGGAAGCAGAACGACTGCGCCGGTGCGGGGCCGCTGTGAGGTGGCGGCCAGGCAGTTGAGTGGGAAGAGGGGCATGCCCCGGCGGCTAGGCGGGGCTGCCCATGCCCCATGCAAAGGAGGCAGGGTGCTGCAGTGCCAGAGCAGCTCAACGGGCACAGGGAGGAGACACCAGCTCCCAGGCTCCCTGCGGTTCTTCTGAGCCGCCCACTGCCGTACCGCTTTCCCACGCCATCATGGCCGGTAGGGCAAGTCCCTCTTTCCTGCACGGTGACCTACCCAACATGGCAGACGCGTGTTGCAGACTGTAGTTGCCGAACGTAATGGACCCGCCCTTTTTGAACGCCGAGCCCGACCTTCCCAACATGGCCGACGGGCCCCTTCTCGGTCCTGACCTTTCCAACATGGCCGACGGGTTCCTCCACGCTCTGACCTTTCCATCATGGCGGAGCTCTTCCCAGTTTTTTGCGCCGGCCACGCCCTCGGTCCTTCGCGGCTAGCTCTGCCCCCTCCTTCGGTGAGCGGCGTGTGGAGCCGGTGGCGCTGGCGGGCGACGGGGGCTCGCTCGGCGGGGGCGATGGGCAGGAGTCCCGGGGTGGCGGCCGCGCTGTTCTACGGGGCGGTGGCGGCGCTGGTGCTGCTGGGGGTGCGGGACGTGCTGTTCGTGTACGAGGAGAACCGGTGCAGCATGACCTACATGTACGAGTACCCCGAGTACCTGGTGAGTGTGGGGCTCCCTGGCCGCGGGGCCGGCCACTTCTCCGGGGGCGCCCGCCCGCCCTGCTCCCCGGGGCGGCCGCCCCCCGCGCTGGGTGTAACCGGGGCCAGACCCGCCTTTGGCGTGTCACTCGCAAACCGGCTTCTCCGGTCCCCGCCGGGGGCGTTTGTCAGCACCGGCTGCTCTGCTTAGTCCAAACGTCCCTGCCTGGGATCCATTAGCTGAGGGGCCATTCGCTCCTCTGGCCTGACCCTCCTGTCTAGGGTGACTGGACAGCAAGTGTGAAAAATCGGGACAGGTGGGGGGGTAATAGGAGCTTATATAAGAAAGAAGACCCAAAAATTGGGACTGTCCCTATAAAATCGGTTCATCTGGTCACCCTAGTCCTGTCTCCCACAGGCCACTGAATCCTCCCTGGCTGCACGCCCGGCAGCCAGACCAGTAACCTGGGGGTGCCTCTAAGGTGTTAGCCTCCTGTGCCGCGAGCTTAGCCTGGCTTGTGGTTCGACAATGCTTGGCGTTCACACCCCGCACTATGTTCACAGAAAAACTAACATCAAGAAAGCAGTTGCATGACTGTTAGAGGGATGTTTTTCTGTAATCAACTGACTCCTTGTAATTCTAGTTTTGAATAGAACGCCATTTGAATGGTGTGTCATGCAATTTAAAACAAATCCACTTTAAATTGCAGCTGCTAGTAGTATACCTTATATAATCGCTCTTTAGCAAGGGAAAAACTGACTTTTCGGGGGATGTTTGTGAAAGTGATGCTGCACAGAGTGCTGTCTCAAATGCACCAAGTAAACAAACAGAAAAGAGTGCTTTTTCTGCTAACTTTCAGTTATAAGCAGGTTAGTTGCTACTTGTAGCAATGCTAAGGACAAAATTTTCAGACAAATGAAATTCCACCTCTCTATTTGTGAGTGGCAGATGAACCTTGAAGGTTTTACAAAGCAAAAATTTGGGGCCAGATATGATCTCACTATGTTTCTTAAAAGCTTATGATAGATTTCTTATACTATTATCCTATTCATATCTAATGCATTTCCCATTTCTATATAAATATGAAATAACAAATAGTATTTAAAAGAGTAAAGTACTCAACTTCAGAGAGAAATATTTTCCATTAGTAATTATTAACTATATATGTCGATAATCTATGCATCACATCCCAGGAGAAGGACTTTGCCACTGTCGAGAATAGAGTGGTGTGCACTGAGCTATCTCTCAATTTATTACAATAAGAACCAGATTCGTGCCAACCTGACCAAGACACAGATGATGGCCTTTCATCTACGCCAAATGGAAACTAAATATCACCTGGGACGGAATCCCACTTGCTAATCATCTGAACCCTGTCTACCTGGGAGTGACATTGTTATACCAATAAAAACAAAAACCAGCAGGATCTTATTAAAGGGAAAAAGGCAAAATACCACATTTATTGTGAACACAGAAAGAATCATAGTAAGCAGTTAGTTATAGCTATAACATTCCATTCAATCTCATATTTATTCACACATTCATTCATACACACACACACACACCCACACACAGGTTCTGCAAGGTTGTTATCATAGTTACCAGCCTTAGAGTTGCTCATGCCAAGCCACTGGCCAGGTGGCCTGGACATGAGGAGGGAGCAGGGCCTTGTCAGATGCTCATCTGATGCTCCTGGAAGTTGGTTTGCAGAATCAGACCCCAAAGTTCTCACTTTCTAGAGTCCATTTTTATAGGAATTTCTTCCTATGCCAGTCTATGGGAATTGCTTCATCATGCTGTTGAATCAATCAGCAGATAGCACATTCCTGACGGCTCCGTGCTGCTAGATGTTATCTTGTTCTTTGGTTCTCCCATCCTTGAGGCTGTTGGGTGGATTCCAGTCTGCCCTCCGGGGAGGGGGGGGGGGTCCTCTGGTTATTTCCACTTGACACCTTCTTCAGCCGATGGACCCTGGATTCTTAGGCTGGCCCCTCCCTGATCATTCAGTTATTATCCACACCAAGCATCCATCCACATATATCCTCTATCTCTATTTTAATCACAATTGTTAACAAAGCAAGATGAATACAACAAAGGGCGGGGAGTCTCTGGGTGCTGTTTCTGTTGTTACAGAGTATTGTTTTGAGTCTCTCTGTGTGAGTAGTTATTACAAAGAATTGCTTTGAGAACAGACTCTGTCTTAGAATGTACTAACGCAATTAGCAGCTTGCAAGTTTAACACATAGAGGGAGAGAAACAGTACCGCAAACCAAGAGACCTCTTAATTAGTAATACCCTGGAATTTAAACTCTGGGGAATCAAACTCATTTGTGATTTTAATACAGAACTTCTTTAATATGATCCAACATAATCCCCCTTTTGACACTAAGATTTATAATCGTCAGTGTCACTTTCTATGTAGCCTATTCAAGAGAAGGTACTGTGAGGCAATTTGAGTTTGTAACTCCAGTTCATCCCACAAACGTGATCCTAGTGATGTATCTTTACTACAAGGTTCTGGGGCAACAGGCAAGGTGAGGCACACCCACTTTTGAGGAGTCCATTCGCTACAACCTCTAGTGTCCAATAGATTCCCTCCCTCCCCAGCCCACTGGCTCGAGGTCCATGGTAGCCAGAAGGATCCCATGTGTAATATGGGGAGTGGGCTAACCTTCAATACCTTTGCCTCCAGGGACTGTTGGTGTGCAATTTTGACAACAATTTCTCCCATTAACAAGTCTGGTTTTACAATACTGGAAATGTATTGCATCCATTCATATTGATAAGTGTCAAACAATGATCTCTTTCTTCGTTTTAACAAATGCATCAAACCCTTAATATTTCCCAATATGACCCAGAACATTTCGTGTTTCAAAGTAGCTAGGGCAAGTATCTGCATTTCAGTGCATCCCATAGCTATGGCTGTGTAGTTTCCTATTTCTAATTTTTTTTTTTTAATGTATAAGCCATGTGGTAGTATTAAGCCATTTCCAAAGATTCCATCGGGCTTTTAGGTTACCCAGACCAATTTGGACCAAGTCTACATTGGCATGTACTTGTTTTTGTATCAGGCTGTCCTGTAGCTGGGACAGAGAGCTTAATTTATTTTTAATTACCTGCAGGTCTTCAGTATTTTTTTTTTTAAACACACAACTGTGCTAGCAACAAGACAGAACATAGAACACAAAACACAATTTCTATTGTGACAGTAGATTCATGGTATTGGGTTGCTCTTCAGCTGGCATCAGCTTTTCCTGATTTTCTGAAAGACAAAAAGAACATGTTTCTACCCCTTTTGGGGTGGCAGATTATTGCTTAAAATATTTCTTTTACAAATACCCTTGCTGACTGCAGGCAAAACAGGAATTGCCCCCACATTTTCCTGTTCTTGTTCTATAGGCAAGCCAGGTTTCAATGGCTTTTATCTTTTAAGGGTTATGGGGAAATTATCCCACTGTTTAGTCATTAAATCCCTGAGGTGGGGTACCTCAGTTTTGCTTCTTATACAGCAGATCAATTTTATAATGTTTTTCCTGCTGTGTTAAGCTTTAAGTTTATTTACAGGTAATAGCTGAGCAGCATCATTACCATACAACCTTAAAGGGTTTTCCCAAAAATCATACACACTATACGTTGTTACAGGGGTACTTTATTATCATTAAATTTATTAAAATTATCTTGTTATCCCATGCCTTTTATTTAGACAATTTGTTTGCTAACTAGGTATGTCCTTTATCTGCAGCTCCTTTGTGCTACTAGTTATTTCCTTCCTTTATCATTTAGATAATTTGCATTTTCACAGGCGCTTCCTGCTTTTGGATTTAAAGCGATCAGCAGCTCAGAGACTCTATCTTAAAAGGGACACAATCAACTTTCACCAGAGTTTTGATTACTTTTAACTTCTGCTTCCAAAACACACAGCAATCTGAAAAAGAAAACCCAACTTATTCTGGCTCCCTTTGGAGCCCTAATAGCATTTTAATTAAGTAGCATGGTATGTTTGCATTTCTTTTGCCCCTTCTACAATATACCTTGCACATGTTCTGGGGCAAATGCACATTCCTTCCACAGTTTAACTTAACTATTTTTTTTTTTTTTTGCTTACAGAGTTTTCATGTACCTTTATATTACTCAGAGCCATTTTAAGACTCAGTGTTTCTAACATTGCTTCTTTTTGTTTTGTGCACCTCACCCCTGCTGTTGCTTCAGAGGGGCACTGTGTTTTTTAGATTTCTTATTATTTCTTTTCTACAGCTCTCATCTGCTATTTTGTTACAAAACCAAATGAAAACCAACCAACCAAACAAAAAGAAACCAGAATTTTTTTTTCTGATTTTGAATACCCTGCTGCAGCCACAACTTAACAACATTTTAAATTTTGTAAAGCATTGAGTTACCTTTTAAGGGTTAAATGCCAAATCCCAAAGCCAAACAACACTAATTACCTGTGTCTAGCAAAAAGGTCCGTCAGTTTTGCAATTTTGAATTTAAAGAGTCAAATGGATTTTTAGTGGCATTATTTAAAACAAAAACAAAACCAATTGGTCCTAGAACTTTACATATTTACACACACACAGATAGATACATACACATTTTCTTTTCCTTAACATCCCTTCCACACTGCTCTATTTTTTACATCTTATATTCCCTTTATACATTTGAGACAGTTAAGTGCCAATAGAACCCTCTTGTGTTCTTTTAGCAAATTTGACTAAATTGTCCAGTCAAATGATTTTAATCAGTTCATTTTTGCCTGGCTAATTTACAGACATTGCTTTGGAAAAGGGCCCATTTTTCCTTCAGAATGGCTGCAAAGAAACCAAGAATACTCTTTCTCTAACACTTTTCCTTTTTAACATTTTCACAAAGTTTAGCTGCTTAATTCCCTCCAGCCTCTGCAGAGTTAACTTTTTAACTCTCTTTTCTCTTTGTAATTATGCCTGGGGGTGCCCTACATAGGACCTTCTCCCCCTTTACCTGCGTCCCTCCAGCCTCTGCAGAGTTAACTTTTTCACTCTTTT